CGATTTGACGCGCAACAAAATGGCGCCGACTGTAGAAGAAGAAAGTTTAAAGAGTACAGCAACTGAAGCGATTGTCTAAACCTACTGAAACAGACAAGATAAAACTTTTTTAGTTGACAAAAAATGATAAAAGCAAGAAAAGAAGAAAAAAGATAGCCGTGAGTGAGTTGGCAGCACGTGGACTGAATACTAAAGTAAATGTTGCGCGAAAAGTTGTTCCCGTGTAAGATGTCGAAAAAAATCGAYACACAAGTGACGCAATAGAGTTGCACAAAAATAGGTGTTGCACGTTGTTCCGTGTAACACCACCTTTAGGTTAACCCTTAGCCGTATACAAGTCCCATGATATTAAAACTACATAAATAACTATCTAAGTATTAAAGACGAACTGTATAAATGAGATGAATAATGTAAAATATAGATATTTTACATATATAAATAACTATGTATGCGATTAATCTAGGCTAATTTGCATTCAATTGTTACTATGATTTATTTAGTGTTGACGGCTACACATGACAGATACTGGCGTGATCATGAAGTGCCATTGTATCTGTTTTAGTGATCCGTTCTGTCGCAGGAGGTATTATCAAAACATGGCATCGGGCATTCTCTCTGCTCGCTTCGTGCTTTCAGCTTTCGTATTAGTATTTCCATTAGTAGGTATCACCCTTGGAGAGCAGAGTCGACCCAACATCGTGATTTTCATGGTAGATGATCTTGGTGTAGCTGATCTGGGTTGTTTTGGTAATGATTCCATCAAGACTCCAAACATCGACAAGCTGGCATCAGAAGGAGCAAGACTCACTCATAATCTTGCTGGAGAATCTATTTGCACCCCGAGCAGAGCTGCTTTCCTCACAGGAAGATATGCMGTTCGTTCTGGAATGGTTCCTAGCGAGGACGCAGTACCAAATATCAGAGTTTTTTTGGTCAGTGCACTTCCAGGCGGCTTGCCTCGACAAGAAACGACCTTTGGCAAAGCTTTGCAAGGAATGGGCTATAAGACAGGTACGATGACACAACGACTCACAATGCAATATTAGCTTATCTGTATATGATCTTGAGCTATGCATGATGTGGTATGGACTCAGTCCAGGTACACCATCCTACTTGTTACAGTAATCACACTTTACATTTTACAGTCRTCAGTAAAACGCTAATAGCTTGATCTAGCGTTCTGAGTTTTTCCACAGTAAATCTCAAGGGGACGAATTAAAGCCAAACTTACAGTTTTTAAGGTCATGAAATGGAGTTACATTTGGGTCAGTTTCTATACATTTCATTGTATTGACCCAAATGCCTGGACTTGAAACAATTGTTTGAAGGCAACAGAGTGTAACTCCGATATCTGCTATTGCCATATGCAAAGAACCTAATGAGCTCGTAGATTTGCAAATTGGCCTTCATTATGAGCAAATAAGCAGGGGCAGATCCAGGATTTTTTCAAAGGGGGGTTGTAGCATTGATTGAGGTGGTGGAGAGATATAGCAGACCAAAGGGTTAGGGAGAYGATTATTGCTGCAGGCGAGCATGGTTGTTTCAGGTCCCACACATGGCATATAGAAAAAAAAAGYGAGTGAAATGTGTTCGGCACCCCTGTTTTAATGAAACTCTCGATGCTGTTGGTRTTGTCATGAAAATAATAATAATAATAATAAATCACAATGGCTCTCATAGGGGGGGTTGCAACCCCCCGAAACCCACCCCTAGATCTGCCACTGATAAGAATGGCCCAAATATATCTTTCCTTTACTACTGAAAGCAGGTCTGATAGGGAAGTGGCATTTGGGACTCAATCTGAAGAAAGCTGATGACTTCTTTTACCATCCCCTCAAACATGGCTTCGATTACTTTTATGGAATACCATTAACAAATATACGTAACTGCCAAGCAGGGGTGACGATAATGGACCATACTTTCCCACAGTGGAAGGAAAAAGCTGCAGGGACAATCTTGGTAACAGGACTGCTTGGACTCATTGCTGTTGTCTTAAACAAACTTCGCAAGATTTGGTTCATAGTTTTCATTTTGATTCAAGTTCTTCCGGTGATGCTTTTGTATTGGTTTGATGTCTCACTTCAGGCTTGGAACTGTTTTTTGATGAGGAACTATGATATTGTAGAACAGCCTATGATATTGGAAAACCTAACTGCAAGATTCACTAGTGAAGCGGTGGATTTTATTGAACAAAACCAAGCCAAACCATTTCTCTTGTTCATGTCATATGCAAAGGTACATGCACCATTGTTCACAACAAAGGCTTTTCAAGGTCATAGTGGCCATAGTAAATATGGCGATAATGTTGAAGAGATGGATTGGAGTGTAGGGCAGATCATGGATACAATAGGTAACCTTGGAATCAGGGAAAACACTTTYGTGTACTTCACTTCAGACCAGGGACCACACCTAGAACAAATTGTTCATGGGGAGTACCAAGGTGGATGGAAAGGAATATTGAAGGGAGGTAAGTGTCACATTTATACRAGCCATTTGAAATAATATTTCACCAAAAATGTTACAAATACATGCTGGTATTGTTTCCAGGTAAGGGTCAGAGCTGGGAAGGTGGTATCAGAGTACCAGGTATTGTTTCCTGGCCAACACACATTCCTTCTGGTATTGAAATCAAAGAACCAACTACAGACTTGAATATTTTCCCAACGGTGCTGAAATTAGCAGGTGCTGACTTGCCCAGTGACAGAATCATTGATGGGCAAGATTTGATGCCGTTGTTGAAGCAACAAGTRSAGTACTCTCCAAATGAATTCATGTTCCATTACYGTGCCMAGGCTATCCATGCTGTACGCTACAGGCCAYGGCATGGTACAACAACCTGGAAAGCACACTTTGCAACACCAAAGTGGACACAGGGAACCCAAACCTGCTTTGGACATGGTGTTTGTGGTTGTTATGGCAATCAAATTAATAGGCATGATCCACCATTGTTGTTTGACGTGACAAATGATCCAGGTGAAATGAATCCCATTGATCCAAGCAATCAACAGTACAAAGATATTGTAAAACAAATTAAAGTAGCTGTGAGCAAGCATCAAGAGGATGTGAAGCCCGTGCCATCTCAACTAGATGTTGTAMTTTGGAGACCATGGTTACAGTCTTGCTGCAATTATCCATACTGTAAATGTATAGAAAATTTCACCAGACTCACTCATTATCCCTCAGGTGGAAAATAGTAAAATCTATCATGCAATTTTCCCCTCAACTTGTTTAAAACCGACATAATTTGTGCTAGTTGATAACCGAAGGAGGAAAGTCTATGATGTTAGAAACAAACCCAAACTGTTTGGTTTCATCTGTTTACATCAGGTACTGCAGTGGAACTAAGAACCATAATTCTTGAAGGCAGCATATTGATGATGCACTACATTTCCTTTCTGCCGTGATTGGTGCCAATAGACCTATCCCGAATTCGCTTGACTGACCACGAAACAATGGTTTGAAGTCRAAASTGAACTCGATTCTTTTATTCATCAAGTTCAACCTCGACTTGAAACCATTGTTTCGTGATCAGTCAAGCGAATTCRGGATAGGTCTATATCTGTCATACATATCCTGGAACAAGTTGSAGAGAAAATTGAATAGAATACTATTACTTAATGTAGTGGTAGAGTGTGAATGACGGTGAGCCAAATTGGAAATTAGTATGCATATACTGAATTTTTTATCTCACTATGAAAAAGTGATTTTGGTTTAAATGACATGTTCACACCTCAAGCCAACTAGTGGTTTCAATAGCATAAACTTTAAACTTTATGTAGAAAACATTTGAAAAATGCCTTTCAAATTTTTGTGTATATGGCAAGGAAGAAAGGTTTGTTGGCAAACTAGTTTGTAACTGGTTTAGAGGATTTCAAAAAAGGATTAATTATAGAATATGYAATAATCAATTACTTAGATAGAATGGTTTTCAAAAACCCGTGAAATACACTTAAGCGTATTACACTTGAATACACTTGAATACACTTTATTGTCTGCATTTTCTTTTGATTTTCTTTTGTGTTTTCGGTGTATTACAATTTATTACACCTTAGTTATTACACTTTGTTTCATAGGTTTTTGAAAACCACTCAAGGGCGGATCCAGGGGGAGGGTCGGGACCCCCCTGTCATTCCTGAGGTCAAATGGGCTTTCTGTGGTAAAAATGCGACTGGGATTCCCTTGCCCACAAAATTTACCCCTGAGACCCCCCCTTCAAAAAACCCTGGATCCACCCTTGCCACTCTAATATACAAGTGGTTAATATACATTTTAGTAGTATCATATTAGAAATAAAATAACACATGAAACTATGAGAATTGCAAAGTTTGTTTATTAAAATCAAATTAAATAGTTTTCATTCCACAAGACTTGAAAATGAAAATTAAGTAGCTATCATTGTTATTACAGTTTAACCTTGTCAAACAAAGTATTCACCACCATTAATACATGGGTTGACTGGTGACACACAGCATGAAATTGAGGCTGCAATGTAGTTTCAAAGGATTATTCAAATTTGAACCYTGAAGCCTCGGTTGAATGCTTYGTATTTGACCAGTGACCTGATGTATGGAAAAAGGTTATTTAGTTTAGGTACAGGAAAAAATGCATTTAAGATGATCTTTTTGGCAACAAATGATATATAAAAGTTGTAAAATGTGTAGACAAGTTGAGGTGAGATCTCGGGGTTTTTTTTTAGGATCAATGCAGTAAATAATATTATCTATAATGCTATTAATAACGTTTTAGTCACCTCAAACACAGTGATTTTTGGTGGAACTCAATCAAAGTGTTCCTATGATACTGTTGGGAAACAAACACACAAAAAACACCTTGTTTAATGAGGGTATAACAGATAAAGTACAGAGGATTGTTTCCAATCTGGCCCTCAATTCCTGATCAAATTGGAATGTGGAAGTTGATTTTATGAAGGAAGGAAAACCAGAGAACCTGAAGGAAAAATACTTGAAGCACAAGACTTATGACACCAAGTCGTGCAGGAATTGAACCCAGGTTGCATTGGTCAGAGACTGCATGTTAGCAGTGCGCCCCACCTATGCTTTTCAACATAGAATGCCTTGGGAATATTTTGATTARCATCCACAGAAAACGAAAACCACTTTTATAGCAATCTCGGAGAATAAAAAAAATTGTAGGTACAGTACAAATGCTGCATAGCTGAGTAAACCATACCAATGTAATATTTAGGATTTTGGTGTTAATGAAAGCAGCTTTTACAATCATCCTATGTTAAAATTTTCCTTTGAAAAACAGAATCTCTCTAATCCCCCCAAAAAAATTGAATAGAGTTCATACCTATTTCAACATGTTCTTGATTCTTGCCCAGCTCTTTAATAAATTAGAATTTAATTAGCTGTAAAATGAAAGTGTGACTTGTACTGACACTGTACCAGTGGCTAGAACAGAGTTACACTTTCATTTAAGTCTTACTTATTTCTATGYTAATTCTTTTCCACAAAATCAAGTCAAAGTTCTCACATCCTTTTGTATGACAATGCATGGTATTAACAGATTCATACATCATGTTGTTAAAACAGTGCTGGATTTATAGATTACTAATTTAATGAATGTATTGAAATCTGTACCATGATTATAATGTGTACTCTTCGTTTTCAAAGTTATATAAATCTAGTCTCGGCTAAACTTTCAAGCACTGTCCCATCACAACTATTAAAATCTTCTTAATGTCTGAAAAAATTCCCAAATAACTTTGCTACTATGTGGAAAACTATAGGAATACATATCAAGAAGCTAAGTAGAGTTTTCATGGGAGGATCTTAAAATGGAGACAGCAGGAAATTTTGAAGTAATAATTTAAACCAGTTTCTTGGCTTCAAAGAATCCTTTAAGATGTCGCATCTGCCAGAAACCAGTTGTAAGAAGAATGAAAGTCTGTGCAATAGCCCACCAGAGGACACGCTGATTGGTGCTCTCACTGGTTTGACGGAAACGCTCCTCACGGTACTGAAATAGATAAATTAATTATTGTAAGTTTTTTACCTCAAGATTAACAACCACTGCCTTCATGCTTCTGGTACCAACAAAAGTGGATGTAATGTGTAGTTTGAGAAAAACCCATAAATTTGAAACGGAGGTAACTTGATGTTGAATCCCCTTTTATTCAAGACARTCTATAAACAGGGTTCCCAGGGGTCAGGGAAAAGTCAGGAAATTTTGTTTAAAGTTAACCATGATTATCTGTGTGATACTCTACTGTTTGCAATTTTCAAATAGACTGATAAATCTTTTCAAGAATGAAAAAAATATTGGAGCATTTAGTATCATTTATGCCAGACAGTTTAATAATGTTGGGTATCCTGTGTAATATGATAAGAGCGGGGCCCTAGGTAAAAGTTAGGCATGTGGCCCATGCTCTCCCATGCTTGCCTATGCGGCCCAACAAGGTCAGTGAAAACTGTTATTTAGTCAGGGAAAAGTCAGGGAATTGTTATTTTCAAAATGGCTGGGAACCCTGATAAAGCAGGCCAGTAAGATCCTCCCCAATTGGAAATCCAATCCCCATCCATTGGGAGAAGAGGTATATTCTTGGATTTTTTCATRAACAAAACAACAGCAAAGCTTACCCTTTGATAGTTTTGCTCTTTGCTGATTTGCTCAACCTGGTCTAATAACTGTCTTATGCGAAGCTGTAGCTCAGTAAGTTTATCTTTGGCTGCTATTTGAGCATAATCATTGGTGTGTTCCCCAACTTGAATATCTAAATGAATACGCTAGAAGAAAAGAAAAAAACCAACATTATTGATATTGAAATATATCTCAAGTATTTTATAATGGCTTAAATATTGCCATTCATTGCACCACTGTCTTTTATTGTTTAATACACTGCATAAGATCTTTACTCAATATTCCCCCAATTTTCTCTTTGGGTGCATTGTGGATTAAAACTGATCAAGATGATCCAAGAAACCAGACATAACTAAATATTTCACCCCAAGGTATACCACAATGCATTGCAGTAAACACTGTTCCTGAGCTATGCAAAGTAGTAAGTGCATTACTTGGTTTAGAATAGACCTCGGCTCGGGCATAATGTTTTCCCATTTAAGACCCTTGAGAATAAGATTCTTTGTTTGAGTTGTATCAATATTCATGTGTCTTCTTATGCGCAAGCATTAAACAAATATATAATACTCTAGGGAATGACACATGGTCTAAAATGGGAACACATTATGCCCGAGCCGAGAAGGTCTATTATTACCAAAACTATCGCAAGTATATGAACAACATTCAAGATAACTTACAAGCCTTCCTCCAGCCCAGAGAGACCATCTAGTAGAGTTAGAATGCAAGCAAATAATATGCTCTCCAGGTGAGTGGGACGTGAAGGTGAATCGTCCCTCCGATGCATAATATTTGGACATGATTATCTTTTGGTTAGGGTCCTTCACYTCCACATGCATACCAATACCAGGACTGGATGGTAGGAAGCTATTAGTATTCTCATCATATAACTGTGTTTTGTATTTACCTATACAAAAATAGTAAAAACAATAGTATTAGCTGATCTGAAGAGCAATAGTATTAGGACATCTGAATTTTCCAAGATATTGAAGAGCAATAGTATTAGGACATGTGAATTTTCTAAGATATTTAAAACATACATTGGATATTGTGGTTGTTTAAACTTTATTATATGTTCATATAATGTCAATCACGATTTGCAAGATATCTGCAGCTTTTATTTTCAACTGGATGAATAAACTTAAACAAGGTCTACGATTTTTCTTAACTTTTGCCGCAACATTAATCAAAAAATAGAATCCTCACAAATAATAACTATCACTGTTATTCTTCAATCTAGTCTAAAGGATCAGTAAATCAAAACGATTATTAAAAACAGCAGGAAAAAATCAATTTAAAACGCTACAAAGCAGTCAACAAAGACTTACTTACCTATGACCATAGTTTCATCTGGGATTTCTTCAATAAAACACTTTTTTTCTGTTTCTCCCATGTGAAAATATAATCCATTWGTACTGGTAAATAGATAGCCTATAAAGGCTAGTATAAMTAGGGCTCTCATGTTTTGTTTTTGMGGAAATATAAGTAAGAAAAGAGAAAATCCCAAATATAAAGAAGAAAAGCTAAGAGACACGAAGACAAAACTCACGCATGCGTACTCTCTTTTTGGGCTTATTTGCCACGTGTACACCGATGTTTACCGAARATACTTCGGCTCTTTGTCGTTAAAGGCTCGGTTGATTCCGTTGAAACTCGTAATGTTTTTGGGCTACCTGTGTTTTTAAAAGTCCTATCAAAGATGGCGGAAGTTTTGAGGTTTTGAGAACAAGTTTTGGGAGGGAAATTTCGTCTCTTTTCTTGAAAGGTAACGCATTTGCAGTATCTTGTTATCTTCCTTAACTGGGAATTATTCAGGATCGATAGTTTTTTAAATATTTACCGATTTAGATGCTTGAATCAAGACTTGACGAACAAGGGTAGCTCATGCTCAAAACTTATTTATAATTTATTATTTAAGATTTGCAACGTTAAAGATATGGCTGAACCACCGTCTAAAAGGTTGAAATCCCCGAAAGAAGGAAAAGGCGCTCCGTGCATTTTGTCAAAGCCTGCAGTTCAAGACTTCTTCAATGGAGTTAAAGCACATATTATTGAGAACGGTTTAGGTAAGACTAGAGCTAGTATCCTTGCAGAAAAACTCGTAAARCACGGAGGAAAGCATCATAAGAAAGTAGAAAAAGACACTACTCATATTGTGTTTGCACAGAGCATAAAGGTTGAGAGGGTAGCTAAGCTTGCAGGTCTTGGGGATAAAGCAATTCCTGAGAATGTAGTCCTGGTATGGGCAGACTGGCTGAGTAAATGCCTGGCTGAGGGAAAACTAGTTAGTCAGCAACAGTATTTACCAAGAGTATCTGGTACCACCAATGATAATGAAACAAAACTGACAGGTGGTGATATCAGGGATTCAAAAACCCAAGTTGATGATGATTCAAAATGTGTTCAAGATAGTGAGAGCAAAAATTTGTTAGAAGAATCCAAATCAGAGCAGAAGCATGGTGCAGAGACAAGTCATAAGTTTGAAAAAAAGTTAGATAAAGAGGACAGTGACAGTGATTTTGTTGACAGTGCCGATGAGCAGGAGTCATCAAATATCGCTAGTAAATGCTCCCCAGAGAAAACAAAAGGAACTTGGATATGTGCTGCACCTTCAACTTCCAAAGGGATGAACCACAATCAAAATATAACAGATAAGCTTCAAGTGCTTGCTACATCATACACAAACACTAAAGACCAGTGGAGAGCCCTTGGGTACAAAAAAGCCATAGCATCAATAAAAGCCTATCACAAAAAGATTGAGACTTGGGAAGAATGTAGTAAGCTCCCCTTCGTTGGGGAAAAGCTTGCCAAGAAAATATGGGAGATAGTTGAGACAGGGCATTTGAGGAGACTCGATCATTTAGATCCTAAGATTGAGGCTATCAATTTGTTTRCTGATGTTTGGGGAGCAGGACCAAAGACTGCAGAATTGTGGGTTTCTAAAGGATTGAGGACCTTGGAGGATCTTACAAAGCATGGGAACTTGAATAAACAGCAGCAGATTGGCTTGAAGTATTTTGAGGAATTTCGTGAGAGGATGCCAAGAGAAGAGGCAGGAAAAATAGAGGAACAGGTGCACAATGCTGCCAATGAAATTGACCCTGGTCTTGTCTGTGAAACTTGTGGCTCATATYGCCGTGGGAAACCAACCTGTGGGGATGTTGACGTCCTTATTTCTCATCCCGATGGTAAATCCCATCATGGTGTGTTGAAAAAGATTCTAGAAAACCTAAAATCCATAGGYTTTGTGACAGATGACCTGATATCAATTCATAATTTGGAGCAGAATAAATACATGGGTGTTTGCAAGTTACCAGGAAATCAGACTAAACACAGGCGCTTGGACATTATTGTTGTTCCACATAATGAATGGGCCTGTGCACTTGTGTATTTTACTGGTTCAGATTATTTCAACAGGTCTGCAAGACTCTTAGCTAAGAAAAATGGAATGTCATTGTCTGAGAAATCACTGAACACAGGAGTTATTAGACAGGGTGGTGAAAAGRTGTTTGAGGGGACACCTTTGCCTGTTTTCAGTGAGAAAGATATCTTCAAGTATTTAGGATTAGAGTATAGAGAACCAGTAGAAAGAGACTGGTAAATAATTATAGAGGCGATAATTCAAAATTATATCTACTTCTGTATTAAGGTATTTGCTACACACTCTCAATTGGAACTTAAAACTTGCTGTGGATTATCTTTTTTGTATTTACTGTCGTTCTATTTTAACCGTGAACACTTGAGTTTGTCGACCAATCAGATTAGAAGTCGAAAACAATAGAATTCGAGTTACATGTCACTATTCAAAAGATGAAATAATAAAAGAGAAAGAAAAAAAGTATATTTACACAAATAAGAAAATGAAAAAAAATAAACTTGAGTGTTAACGGTTAGAGTAAAACGACAGTAACCTTATTTCTTCCTCAATGATCTCTCATCTTTTTAAAAATAGTAATGAAAAATTGAGTGTTAAGACAGATAAGAAAGGGTAAAAGTATACACAATTCTTTTTCTCTTGTAGGTAATTATAGCAATGATAATAGGATGTAACGATAAAAGGCTTATGAAGATATGATTGTAAAGTCATCAAGCTTGTAAATATTGTAAATAGTATGAACAATAGTCTGCAATAAATGCTGCTCTTCCGAGAGGCGTGTTACATTATAACTAATGATTTTTACACGATACTCAAGTAAAATGCATTATAGATATAAAATTGACCAAGGTTACACTTAGATATTATCGTATAAGACAATTGTTATTACCATCCATGGATATAAGTTGTACTGAAATATTGTAGTATATTTTCTTACTTTTCTTTTTATAAGCGTCTCACTAAAACCGTCTGCAACTTGCCTGCAATTAACGTCTTTAAATTTGTTTCGAAAACTTTGAAGAAAAAACAACTGACTTCTATCAGCCATAATTTGGGGTTGTCGTATCCGTATCCAAGAGAATATTAAGTATATCCTCTTACCGTATCTCATTCTTCGAGTTTTCTTTTAATGGTCATATCTTGGCGGAGATCGAATAGCGTTCCTCCAAGCACCTTAGAAACATTGTCCAGCTTTTCCAATTCTTCGCATATCGCTGGTCTTCGTTTATTCCTGGTTTTTCCTCGCAGTTGGAATCTAATATATTCAGCATCCATAATTTTGGGACTGTCGTTATGCTACGCCGTTATTACACGACCAGTACCTCTACAAACTGGCTCCATCGATGTCTCTTCTGTTCGTTCATTTTCTTGAATCTTGAATGTTCTAACACAATTGTTGGTGTGTCTTTTAGCAAGAAATTTATGAAAGATTGCTGCCATTTGAACTTGATTTCGAAGACATGTTTTCCAAAAAGAATCCAACTTCTGAACAACTGAATGAATATAACATACAGTTTTGACATGTAAAGTGCAGTTCTAAAAAGTGCAGAATTGAAAAAGAAATGCTGTTATATACCTTCCATAATTACGTATTTTTACGTAAGAACTTGTAAGGTACCCCACTTGGTGTACTCCACAGTTTCGATATGACGACCGCTTAATGAAACATTCTGTCGTACGGCTCTTTGAAGAAAAAAAGCGCCTATAGCACGGAAAGTATTTAAAGTTACAATTGAGACATTTTAGCTCATCGTATTGATGTTCTTTCAAAACAAGATTTTTCTTTTTGAATTCTACTCCTAAGTTGGTTAGTTTTGTTCGTTAGTTTGTGTGTGYGTGAAGGGGGAGAGGAGAGGAGTGGCAAAGCAGTTAGCAGTCAGTGTGCTAAAATAATCATCTCACTCTCCTCATATGCCTCATTAAAACTTTGACGTTTGCTATGATCCACTGTCCCCCCTCCCCAGCCCGTCGAGTAATTACTCAGGCTGAGGTCAACACTGACGGAAAACCTCGACGGCTCATTGTGATTCAGTTAATTCGCTCTTCCTCTAAAAAAAGATCATGGTCGCCGGCGTGGTAGGCCGTTTGCATGATGGCGTCATTTGCCTCACTCTCACTACCAAAATTTGTATTTCCTCAAGAGAATAATAAGATAATTGACGCTAATTTACTGAACAAAATAAAATGTGCAAGGGAGTCTGGTAGTGGTAGAAAATAAACTGATATATTGTCCTTTCTTCATTTTTATGAAATCGTGATAACAGTTTAAAAGGCACAACTTGTTTTGTAAGGATGGAGGAGTCGATACGGTGCGGAGAATGACGTCAGCTCGCATATGCACATGTGCAGCAACGATTAGTATGTCAAGTTAATTAAGCTATTGTTATATAACGATTTGTTCGATGTAACTACCAATCAGCTCCATTCACGAACATTAAAGTGGTTGTAATGAGTTTTATGTAGCGTGTCACGAAAAGTTCTGTCGCACGTTTTTTTTTACGAGGAAATTCAAAACTGTACGGTAAAACTTTTTCATAATTGTAGAGATCTCAATCAAGCAATCGTTGTGGTGGAGGAAAAAAACTGGGTCGAGTTGGCATTGTGTTGTATTGTGGGACTATTTTAGGGAACATATTTTCTAAGATGTCGTTATTTTGTCCCCTAAGACAGTCCCACAATGCACTGCAATGCTAACTCGACCCAGTTTTTTCCTTCACGTCGGATTGGTTAATAATCCATAAATTCCTCTGTTTACTTATAGCCTCCTTTGCAATCGTACTTTGCGTGACGACCCTAAGAACGGCTGCAAAGGAGGCTACTGTTTACTCGGAGTTTCAAGACCTTCAAAGGCCTACGGAGCCACCTTAATATCCTTGCCTTATTTTTGTATTTCTGAGTAAAATGCAATAATGAAACGTGGTGTAAGGTATGAACGAATATGTCAAACTTAGGACTTTCTTTTTCAAGTTCTTGTACATTTTCTGTGCAGCTTGTTGCATGGAGCATTGCACCGTGTAACCTACAGCGCAATTTGAAGAATGTTGCGAGACGAGTTGCAGCAATCATTGCGAAAAGTAGAATTCCTTTCTACTGTTGGCAACTATTGCGTCTCCGTTGCACCATGTACTAGACACTCCTGTAACTTGTGTCGCAACGCTGTTGCGAGACAAGTTCCAGGGATAATTGCTCTATGTAATCGCGCCTTAAAAGTCATTAGGTCTTTTACAGTTTATTATGTTTTTCTGTAGTCTCCCTCGTATCCGTTTTTAGTTTCGGTCGTCACGCATTGCGTGACGACCGACACTAAAAACGGATGCGAGGGAGACTAGTTTTTCTGCAATTTTATTACAAGAGATTCAGCCGCATCCACCTCAGTATATATATATATATATTTTTTATTTTATTTTATTTTTTGTATGAACCACCAAATAAATTCTTATTTCATAGAAATTTTCACTCTAAAAGGTTCACTCGTTTATTCTTTTAGTGGAAATGGATATAAAATCTGTGTCGATATCTGATCGAGGATCTGTCAGGATGGAGGGAACATTAAGAACACCGTGACATACAAAGGCATGCCAACGTCTTCCACTTTAATACTCTGCAAAAGGAAATACAGTAGAATCGGTTTAGGATATCTGAGCAGGTCGAACTATTATAGACCGCGCTTTAGTTGACCCATCATTCACATCATTGACTGATTACGTGGGTGGACGGATTGGAGACTGCGTTGATCAACCAATCAATCTTCAATCTAGACTTGTTCAAAGTCTACTATATAATTTTTCCAAGAAAAAAGATGTATGACWTATTTTTGCTAGCGACAGCGTCGCGAGTGCTCGAATCATTTCAAATGCTCCCGACTTTATCAGTTACGATTTATTTACCGACTAAAAAGAACGTGTCGGTAAATTTGGCGCAAATGATATATAGTGAGACTTCAAGTACGAACGAGAGAATGCGATCAAGTACGAAAGCCTAGGGTGCGGTCGGTTTAGAACAAAGAAAGAAATTCAAAAGATATACTGTACCTCGCTTTGTTTCATCTTTCCAGTGAATCCAAATAATTGATTTTTCACTCCTAAATGAGATAAGTAGAGGGATTTTTAGCTAAAATAGTCGACTCAAGAATTAGGTTGGCACATAGGGAGCCCAAACAATGCATTTATCAGTAATTATAATTTTTATATTTAAAAATGTGAAAATTAAATTTCAACCTTTCAAAATTGTTTTTAAATGTTTTTCTTTGCTTTTCAATGGCATTTCTTAGAATTTAATTTTTCAAAGTTTGGCGGTTGGTAGTACGATTTCTGAATGAGAATTCTGTATTTTGATACCATATTGGAATATTGAATTCACCTGATGTATAAACTTTATAGACATCTTTGGAAATCCACTGAACACGTAAACAGTACCGTACCTAGTATTAAAGCAACGTAAAAACAAAGGGAAAAGAATCAAAAATAAACTGTAACTTTTGTCATAATGTCAATAATCATCTTTCCACTACCTCCATTACCGTCATGTTAACCAACCTTCGCTAATATAATCGTCATATCTTCGTCACCATTCATCAATACAATCACTCAATCAATTAATACCTAAGCCACATATATACCTCTCGATCCTGACGCATGGAGAACGTGTGTCTTTCACAGGCTTTGAACGAAAGGACTGGGTCGTTGGGCTTCAGCCGCTGAAATGTAAGAAAATGTGCAGTGTTCAGAATATAAGCCTGATAAACTGCCGATGGGTTCCCTGTGTGTTGGTTATTATCTTTGGATCATCCCTTTCTTAGAAAGATGTCATAAAGACTGCAATTTGTATTGTCTTAAGGAGATGGAAGCTGTTTTCGCTCAGTTTTTACCTGGATAGAGAAGGAATAATCTGAACTTTCACTGTCGCTCTTAATAGCCTTCACTTCGAAGTAGAATCCGTGGAGAGAAACGATTTCTGAATGGTACTGTATATGCTGAGACAAGAAGTCAAATTATCTGTGTTAATACTACTAAATTCTTCAAAATAAGGCATAACAAAAATTAGCATATGGATAAAAGTGGCTGTAGTGCATTTGCCTCTCATCTCTGTGGTCTCGGGTTCAATCCCCAGACCGGGCATCACGTGTGAGTAGAGTTTGTTAGGTCTCTCCTTTTTAATTTGAGGATCTGTTTACCTCGCTCTGCTAAGATGCTAAATTCCCATTTGACTTGTGAATTAGCCATGCCCTGACTTGATCAGCTCAGAAGCTATTTCAGGGTTAAATCATTGAGTTAGCCGTGCCTTGACTTAGATCAGACCAGGCGTTGTTTCGGGGTTCAGTCTATGATTTAGCCGTGCCCTGACTTAGATCAGCTTAGATCTATAGAGAGATTGTTACAGGGTTCGATCTGTGAGTTAGCCGTGCCCTGACTTTGATCAGCCCAGAGGTTGTTTCAGGGTTCAATCTGTGAGTTAGCCGTGCCCTGACTTAGATCAGCCTAGACCTTGTTTCAGGGTTCAATCTGTGAGTAAGCCGTGCTCTGACTTAGATCAGCCCAGAAGCTATTTCAGGGTATCGTTACAATTTGAAGGTTTTTGATGGTTTGTAGACGGGGAAAAGACATTAAAGCTCAAACAAATACGAGCAAATAGATTTTATTTACCTGTTCGATTATAAAACCAATCCTTATCGCTCCTTGATCGAATTTGGTCATAAGAGACATGTCTCCACCACCCTGAAGCTAAGAGTGACGAAAAACATTATTATCCTATGCGCTGGATAGTGTACTAAGGTATGTTGCGTAGTGTGAGACAAACAGATATTCGGTAACCATTGAGTAACATTATAACTGGGTGCAATGCGCAACCTATAATATTGTACGAGTAACCAGTATACATCTCTGCGCCGGATAGTATACTAAGGTATGTTGCGTAGTGTGAGACAAACAGTTACTTGGTAACCATTGTACAATCTTGTGTCACATTATAAGTGGGTGCACTGCGCAACCTATAATATCGTACGAGTAA